GGGGGGGGGGGGGGGATCCAGCCGGTGAAGCCGAACCGGGGCGATGCCCCCGTCGTGCATGTGGGGTCGGCGTCTCTGCCGTGTGTGCATGGGGATGGCGTCTTCGAGTGTGCGGGGTCGGTGTCCCTGCTCTGCATGTGAGGTCGGTGCCCCGTGAAGTGCGTGGGGATGGTGTCCCCATTGTGCATGTGAGGTCGCTGCCCCCCCGCCCCGAGCGTGTGGGGTCGGTGCCCTCGTTGTGCTGGGGGGGCCGGTGCCCACGGGGGTCAGTGCCGGCAGCCCTGGGGTGCTCACAGGGCAGCCCCAAGGCCAGGCTGGCGTTGGGCTGGGGGAGGCATTTGTGGTGCCGGCAGGTCAACACATGGGGAATGCTGGGGGTGTCACTGTGGTTTGGGGGGGGATGGTGCAGCAGCGGGGCCACGGGACCTGGTGTTTGGGGTCTGAGCGGGGGGCGGCTGGGCACCGGTGCCAGGGACCCGGCGCTGCCCCACGGGGACTCTCTCCCTGGCCAGGGGCCATCTCAGGGTTGGATGCTGCTCCTCTGCCCTGCAGCTGCCTGTCCCTGTCCCCATCCCTGTAGGCTCTCGGTGGGATGCGTGGTTCCCCCGGAATGGCCCGTGACTGTGCCCGCTGTCAGGAGCGGCACGATGGGGCTGGTGCCTCTGCGGGCAGTGTTGAAAGACCCCGCATCGACCGTCTCGCTCCCCCCTCGGCAGCTGCGCGCTGCCCAGCCCCACGCAATCTCGGGGGCGGCCGCATCGCTGGGGCACGGGCAGGGAATGGCGACACTTGAACAAGATCCCAAAGGAGTGGTGGCACGAGTGCCTGCTGGCTGCTGGGCACTGCTGCACCGGCCGTGGCGGCTACGGAGGTGCCATGTGCCGGACGGGCAGGGGTAGAGCTGCCCTCCGGGTGTGGGTCGTGTGCCAGGGATGAGGTCCGTGACTCCCGGCATGCAGCTGGCTCCGCAGCAGCGTTTGCCAGGGTATGGGCTTTCGTAGCCATCCCGTTGGCTGCAGCCCTGGGTCCTGTGCAGCAGGGTGGTAGCGCAGGGCACAGGCAGCAGCTGCCCCATGGCTTGGCTGGACGGGCACAGGGGGGCTGGTGCTGCAGCCCCCAGCCCAGCTGTGCTGGTAGACCCCTCCTCCCGGGATGCCTTTGTGGGGAGCAGCCCCCCCGGCAGCCCGGCTGTGGGAGCCTCACAGCTGCAGGAGCCCCACAAGCTGCCGTTTCCCCCAGCGTGGGGCTGCCCCGGCGTCCGTGCCCCGCCGGGGAGCCGTGGCGGGTCTGCGGGATGTGCCCACCGGCCGTACCCTGCTGCTGGGCCGGGCCCTGCGCTGAGCTCCCGCTGCTGCTCCTTGACTCGGCTCCGCATCGGTTGGGTTTCGGTTCTGGCTTGTCCCCGTTCCTTTGGTTGCTTTTTTTGTTTGCTGCTTTTTTTTCCCTTTAGTTTTTTTCCTTTTTTTTTTCTTTTTTCTTTTGGTGGCGCTGAGCGTGTCTCTATTATTTTGATTCTTTTCATTTTGTCTCTTGTTATGTTTTATTATCAGGTTCATGGGAGACTGTAACAATCCCCCAACAGTACCAAAAGATCCCGCTCCCGGCTTACGGGGCTGCTGTGCTAAACGGTGACGCCTCGTCCCATCCGTTCCATTCCCTGCCTCCACCTCCACCTCCACCACCACATTCCCATCAGACTCTTTTCAGTTCCTTTGGCTATCACAGGCTCTCCCCTAGCAGTGCCGACGAGCCGCGTTACGGACAAGGTAGTTCACCGCTCGCTTCGTGCTCTCGATGGATTTCTTTCTTTTCCTTTAAAGTCTGTATCGAGTCTTTTCTTTCTGCTTGGCCTCTCTCCCCCTTGCCGTGGTGTGTTTGCACGCGGGTGCGTGCAGGCGTGTGCAAGCGCGTGCACGTGGGTGCGTGCGTGTGCATGCAGGGGTGTGTGTGGACGTGTGCGCGCATGCAGGTGTGTGCATGCGTGTGTGTGTGCGCGCATGCAGGCAGGCGTGTGCGTGCAGGCACGGGCACACATGCATGCTGTCGGCCCCCTCCCCTGCACGCCCTCTCCAGCGCTGCTGTAGCACTCCGTGGCCCATGGCTCTGCTGCCGGCACATCCCACCCTCGCCACCCCGGTGTCCCCGGCTGCGGGGCAGGGCTGGAGGCAGCACCGTGCTGCCGGCTCTCCGTGCTGTGCCCGCGGCCCCTGCTCTCCTGTCCACCCTGTCTGGGTGCGTGGGAACCCCCAAAACCACTCTCCAGGCTCTGTGCCGGGCCGCAGGGCTGAGCAGCGCGGTGCCTGGCCGGGAGCCGCGGGCGCAGGGACCCTCTACGCGCTGCAGCCTCCCCCGCAGGGTGTTCGACACCCAGCGAACGGCTTTAACTGGGTCGGGGCTGTGCGCTCGGAGTGGGAAGGGGCTGCGGCACCGGGCGTGCTTTCCTGGGGGATGCTCTTGGGGCTGGCTCAGGGCAGGCAGTGCCCAGCTGCACCCTGGGGACCGTCCCCATGGCACGGGCCGGTGATGGATGCTGCAGGTCCATGTATCGGGAGTGCCCAGAGAGCAGATACTTGACCAGGGGTCTGCAGGGCTACAGCCTATGCCGGGGCTACCGCCAGCTCTCTGGGGGCCGGGGGGGGTGTCTTTGCATGTGCCCCCGTGGCATCGGTGCAGCGGGTTGTGTTGGGAGAGCACCGGGCTGGCCGTGCTCATGATGGGGACAAGGGAGCAAAACTTTTCCCCTGGGCTTTCTCTCCCCGCTGGGTCTCACAGAGCCTTACGCCTGCCCAGGCAGCGTGGGCTCCTCTCGGTGTGACTGCGGCACATGCAGCTCAGGGACATCCCAGCCCGATTGCGGCGTGGCCGGTTGTTCCCCCTCGCGCTCCTTCGGTGACTTTATTACCTTGTACCATTCACCCCCTGCTACGGCCCGGCCGCTAATGGGGCGAGCGGCTTAATGAATGAAACCGGCCTGGGCAGCGGTGGGGTGGCAATGCCCTGTACCTGGTGGCTGGTGGCAGGGCTGGGCTGAGCCGGGCTCCTCGGTGTCTGGCGGTGGGGTTGCAGCAGTGCCGGGCCTGTTGTCTATCTCATCTGATGCTGTTTTAAATCCCGGGCTCAGCGCTGGGTGTCCCTGGCCGGCCCTGGTGCGAGGTGGGCAGCGGGGTGAGCCGGTGAAGGAGCGGTGCTTCGGTGACCCTCGAGCTGTGCCCCGGCGGGAGGGCCAGGTCCTCTCACCCGCTGCTGTGTCACCCATGTGTCACCAGCTGCCATGGGGCACCCTGGGGAGCGTGGGGGGTTCAGCACCCGGTGCCGGGCCCCTGCATCCTCCAGATGGGTGCGGGCAGCCGCAGGGGCACGACCAGCACTGTCTTGGCCAGGGGACAGTGGGCTGGGGACCCTGGTCCCCACTGCCTGAGTTTGCCCAGTTCCCTTTGCTCCCCGCACTGGGTCATGTCCCCATCCCCTGTCCGGACTGAGCTGGGGCACTGGGACACCCCCCCATGGGTCTGTCCCTGGCCAGTAGCAGGGAGGGGGTCCCTGCAGGACAGGGTCCTAGGGCTGGTCACTGTCACCCCATGCCTGTTGCTCAGAGTGGGACAGGTCCCCGGGACAATGCTGGCATCCCTGGGCACGGCCGTGGCCAGGGACCCCACACCTTTGCTGTGGGATTTTCCCTGCGTGCAGCAGCGATGGGCTGCGGGTCACTTCACCCCGTGCCACACCGATGCGAACCCGAGCACGCGGAGCCACGCATGCCTGATGGCCGCTCTCTCTGCTCTACCACCAAGGGTCCCGCGGGGCTGACATGAGCCCGTCCCACCTCTCACCGTCGCAGGGCGGATCGGCCGCGCCGGCTCCCACGGAGGAGATCTGGGTGCTGCGGAAACCCTTTGCAGGTACGGTGGGCATGCGCCGCTGGGACCCTCCCTGTCCCCTCTGGGGGTGTGCGCTGGGACGTGGCAGTGGCTCTGGCAGGGCATGGCCACACCGCGGTGTTCCCCCTGCCCTGCCATGGGGCTCAGTGTCCTGACGGCATCTCCTCTTCCTTGCGCAGGTGGCGACCGCAGCAGCTTGGGCAGCACGGGCAGCGTGGCCTCTGCCCGCAGCTCGGGGAGCGGGCAGAGCGCGGGCAGCGGGGCGCACGCCCTGCACGCTGGCGCTGAAGGTGTCAAGGTAAGGCGGGCCCCGAGGTGACCGTGCCAGCCTCCGGTGGCATTCGGCTCTGGTCCCGGCACCGGTGCTTGCCCCGGGGCAGGTGTTTGCTGCCTTGGCAGCTGCCCCCAGTCCTTGCTGGGACTGATGCTCGGCCGGGTGCTGTGAGTTCCTACCGGCACCCAGCGTGGCACCGGCCGTGGCTGTCGCTGACAGTGGCCACCAGCGTGTCCCCTCCCAGCTGGCCCCCGGCCGCTGGCTGGGCCCGGGCTCAGCCGCCTGCACGACGTCCCGCTGGGCTGCAGGGCCGGGCAGGGGCTACCGGAGCGTGCCGTGTCCGGCCGAGACCGCGTGCCGTGTCTCTGCTGCCGCTCGCAGGGTGCCTCCGCGCTGCACTGCACGCTGCGTGCTGCCACCGGCACGCTGCCCGCTGCAGCTCCGCGCTGCCGTCTGCCTGCTGCTGCCAGCACGCAGCCCACTGCACTCTCCTGCCTGCGCGTTGCCCGCTGCGCTCTCCTGCCTGCGTGTTGCCCACTCCCCACTGCTGCCGGCGCGTTGCCCGCTGCACCCTCTGCCTGCGTGTTGCCCCCTGCGCCCTGCGTGCTGCCCACGCTAGCCCGAGCTGTCCCGTCCCGGGGCCGAGGCACCCGTGAGCCCACCTCCCCTGGCATCCTGCCTGCTTTATGCCACAGCAGCTTGGGCAC